GGGTTAAAAACAGGGATTTCTATGAAAATAAGCGATATTTTAGGGGAAAAACAGGGATTTCTATGAAAATAAGTGATATTTTAGGAGATAATCTGGGATTTCTATTAAAATATGCAATATTTTAGGGGAAAAACAGGGATTTCTGTGAAAATAAGCGATATTTAGGGGAAAAACAGGGATTTCTATGAAAATAAGCGATATTCAAGGTTTAAAAACAGGGATTTCTATGAAAATAATCAATATTTTAGGGGAAAAACAGGGATTTCTGTGAAAATAAGCGATATTTTTTGGGAAAAACAGGGATTTCTATGAAAATAAGCGATATTTAAGGGGAAAAACAGGGATTTCTATGAAAATAAGCAATATTTAAGGGGAAAAACAGGGATTTCTATGAAAATAAGCGATATTTAAGGGGAAAAACAGGGATTTCTGTGAAAATAAGCGATATTTTAGGGGAAAAATAGGGATTTCTATGAAAATAAGCGATATTTAAGGGGAAAAACAGGGATTTCTATGAAAATAAGCGATATTTTAGGGGAAAAACAGGGATTTCTATGAAAATAAGCGATATTTAAGGGGAAAAACAGGGATTTCTGTGAAAATAAGCGATATTTAAAGAAAAAAACAGGGATTTCTGTGAAAATAAGCGATATTTTAGGGGAAAAACAGGGATTTCTGTGAAAATAAGCGATATTTTAGGGGAAAAACAGGGATTTCTATGAAAATAAGCGATATTTAAGGGTTAAAAACAGGGATTTCTATGAAAATAAGCGATATTTAAGGGTTAAAAACAGGGATTTCTGTGAAAATAAGCGATATTTTAGGGGAAAAACAGGGATTTCTATGAAAATAAGCGATATTTAAGGGGAAAAACAGGGATTTCTATGAAAATAAGCGATATTTAAAGAAAAAAACAGGGATTTCTGTGAAAATAAGCGATATTTTAGGGGAAAAACAGGGATTTCTGTGAAAATAAGCGATATTTTGGGGGAAAAACAGGGATTTCTCTGAAAATAAGCGATATTTTAGGGGAAAAACAGGGATTTCTATGAAAATAAGCGACATTTTAGGGTAAAAACAGGGATTTCTGTGAAAATAATCGATATTTTAGGGGAAAAACAGGGATTTCTGTGAAAATAAGCGATATTTTATGGGTTAAAAACTGGGATTTCTATGAAAATAAGCGATATTTTAGGGTAAAAACAGGGATTTCTATGAAAATAAGCGATATTTAAGAAGAAAAACAGGGATTTCTATGAAAATAAGCAATATTTTAGGGGAAAAACAGGGATTTCTATGAAAATAAGCGATATTTAAGGGTTAAAAACAGGGATTTCTATGAAAATAAGCGATATTTAAAGAAAAAAACAGGGATTTCTATGAAAATAAGCGATATTTTAGGGGAAAAACAGGGATTTCTGTTTTAAATATCGCTTATTTTCATAGAATAAATGAAAATAAGCGATATTTAAGGGGAAAACAGGGATTTCTGTGAAAATAAGCGATATTTTAGGGGAAAAACAGGGATTTCTATGAAAATAAGCGATATTTTAGGGGAAAAACAGGGATTTCTATGAAAATAAGCGATATTTAAGGTTTAATAACAGGGATTTCTAGGAAAATAAGCGATATTTTTTGGGAAAAACAGGGATTTCTGTGAAAATAAGCGATATTTTAGGGGAAAAACAGGGATTTCTGTGAAAATAAGCGATATTTAAGGGGAAAAACAGGGATTTCTGTTTTAAATATCGCTTATTTTCATAGAATAAATGAAAATAAGCGATATTTAAGGGGAAAACAGGGATTTCTGTGAAAATAAGCGATATTTTAGGGGAAAAACAGGGATTTCTGTGAAAATAAGCGATATTTTAGGGGAAAAACAGGGATTTCTATGAAAATAAGCGATATTTAAGGTTTAATAACAGGGATTTCTAGGAAAATAAGCGATATTTAAGGGGAAAAACAGGGATTTCTGTGAAAATAAGCGATATTTTAGGGGAAAAACAGGGATTTCTGTGAAAATAAGCGATATTTAAGGGGAAAAACAGGGATTTCTATGAAAATAAGCGATATTTTAGGGGAAAAACAGGGATTTCTATGAAAATAAGCGATATTTTAGGGGAAAAACAGGGATTTCTATGAAAATAAGCGATATTTTAGGGGAAAAACAGGGATTTCTATGAAAATAAGCGATATTTAAGGGGAAAAACAGGGATTTCTATGAAAATAAGCGATATTTTAGGGGAAAAACAGGGATTTCTGTGAAAATAAGCGATATTTAAAGGGAAAAACAGGGATTTCTATGAAAATAAGCGATATTTTAGGGGAAAAACAGGGATTTCTAGGAAAATAAGCGATATTTTAGGGGAAAAACAGGGATTTCTATGAAAATAAGCGATATTTTAGGGGAAAAACAGGGATTTCTGTGAAAATAAGCGATATTTTAGGGAAAAACAGGGATTTCTATGAAAATAAGCGATATTTAAGGGGAAAAACAGGGATTTCTGTGAAAATAAGCGATATTTTAGGGGAAAAAACAGGGATTTCTATGAAAATAAGCGATATTTAAGGGGAAAAACAGGGATTTCTATGAAAATAAGCGATATTTTAGGGGAAAAACAGGGATTTCTGTGAAAATAAGCGATATTTTAGGGGAAAAACAGGGATTTCTGTGAAAATAAGCGATATTTAAGGGGAAAAACAGGGATTTCTGTGAAAATAAGCGATATTTAAGGGGAAAAACAGGGATTTCTATGAAAATAAGCGATATTTTAGGGGAAAAACAGGGATTTCTATGAAAATAAGCGATATTTTAGGGGAAAAACAGGGATTTCTGTGAAAATAAGCGATATTTTAGGGGAAAAACAGGGATTTCTGTGAAAATAAGCGATATTTTAGGGGAAAAACAGGGATTTCTATGAAAATAAGCGATATTTAAGGGGAAAAACAGGGATTTCTATGAAAATAAGCGATATTTAAGGGGAAAAACAGGGATTTCTGTGAAAATAAGCGATATTTTAGGGGAAAAACAGGGATTTCTATGAAAATAAGCGATATTTAAGGGGAAAAACAGGGATTTCTATGAAAATAAGCGATATTTTAGGGGAAAAACAGGGATTTCTATGAAAATAAGCAATATTTTAGGGGAAAAACAGGGATTTCTATGAAAATAAGCGATATTTTAGGGGAAAAACAGGGATTTCTGTGAAAATAAGCGATATTTTAGGGGAAAAACAGGGATTTCTATGAAAATAAGCGATATTTAAGGGGAAAAACAGGGATTTCTGTGAAAATAAGCGATATTTTAGGGGAAAAACAGGGATTTCTATGAAAATAAGCGATATTTATGGGGAAAAACAGGGATTTCTATGAAAATAAGCGATATTTTAGGGGAAAAACAGGGATTTCTATGAAAATAAGCGATATTTAAGGGTTAAAAACAGGGATTTCTATGAAAATAAGCGATATTTTAGGGGAAAAACAGGGATTTCTATGAAAATAAGCGATATTTAAGGGGAAAAACAGGGATTTCTGTGAAAATAAGCGATATTTTAGGGGAAAAACAGGGATTTCTATGAAAATAAGCAATATTTAAGGGGAAAAACAGGGATTTCTGTGAAAATAAGCGATATTTTAGGGGAAAAACAGGGATTTCTATGAAAATAAGCGATATTTAAGGGGAAAAACAGGGATTTCTATGAAAATAAGCGATATTTTAGGGGAAAAACAGGGATTTCTATGAAAATAAGCGATATTTAAGGGGAAAAACAGGGATTTCTGTGAAAATAAGCGATATTTTAGGGGAAAAACAGGGATTTCTATGAAAATAAGCGATATTTAAGGGGAAAAACAGGGATTTCTATGAAAATAAGCGATATTTTAGGGGAAAAACAGGGATTTCTGTGAAAATAAGAGATATTTTAGGGGAAAAATAGGGATTTCTATGAAAATAAGCGATATTTATGGTTTAAAAACAGGGATTTCTATGAAAATAAGCGATATTTAAGGGGAAAAACAGGGATTTCTATGAAAATAAGCGATATTTAAGGGTTAAAAACAGGGATTTCTATGAAAATAAGCGATATTTTAAGGGGAAAAACAGGGATTTCTATGAAAATAAGCGATATTTAAGGTTTAAAAACAGGGATTTCTATGAAAATAAGCGATATTTTAGGGGAAAAACAGGGATTTCTGTGAAAATAAGCGATATTTTAGGGGAAAAACAGGGATTTCTATGAAAATAAGCGATATTTTAGGGGAAAAACAGGGATTTCTGTGAAAATAAGCGATATTTTAGGGGAAAAACAGGGATTTCTGTGAAAATAAGCGATATTTTAGGGGAAAAACAGGGATTTCTGTGAAAATAAGCGATATTTTAGGGGAAAAACAGGGATTTCTATGAAAATAAGCGATATTTAAAGTGGAAAAACAGGGATTTCTATGAAAATAAGCGATATTTTAGGGGAAAAACAGGGATTTCTATGAAAATAAGCGATATTTAAGGGGAAAAACAGGGATTTCTGTGAAAATAAGCGATATTTTAGGGGAAAAACAGGGATTTCTATGAAAATAAGCGATAGTTAAGGGGAAAAAACAGGGATTTCTATGAAAATAAGCGATATTTAAGTGTTAAAAACAGGGATTTCTATGAAAATAAGCGATATTTAAGGGTTAAAAACAGGGATTTCTATGAAAATAAGCGATATTTAAGGGGAAAAACAGGGATTTCTGTGAAAATAAGCGATATTTTAGGGGAAAAACAGGGATTTCTATGAAAATAAGCGATATTTAAGGGGAAAAACAGGGATTTCTGTGAAAATAAGCGATATTTTAGGGGAAAAACAGGGATTTCTATGAAAATAAGCGATATTTAGGGGAAAAACAGGGATTTCTATGAAAATAAGCGATATTTAAGGTTTAAAAACAGGGATTTCTAGGAAAATAAGTGACATTTTAGGGGTTAAAAACAGGGATTTCTGTGAAAATAAGCGATATTTTAGGGGAAAAACAGGGATTTCTATGAAAATAAGCGATATTTTAGGGGAAAAACAGGGATTTCTATGAAAATAAGCGATATTTCAGGTTAAAAACAGGGATTTCTATGAAAATAAGCGATATTTAAGGGTTAAAAACAGGGATTTCTATGAAAATAAGCGATATTTAAAGGGGAAAAACAGGGATTTCTGTGAAAATAAGCGATATTTTAGGGGAAAAACAGGGATTTCTATGAAAATAAGCGATATTTAAGGGGAAAAACAGGGATTTCTGTGAAAATAAGCGATATTTTAGGGGAAAAACAGGGATTTCTGTGAAAATAAGCGATATTTTAGGGGAAAAACAGGGATTTCTAGGAAAATAAGCGATATTTTAAGGGGAAAAACAGGGATTTCTATGAAAATAAGCGATATTTAAGGGGAAAAACAGGGATTTCTATGAAAATAAGCGATATTTTAGGGGAAAAACAGGGATTTCTATGAAAATAAGCGATATTTAAGGGGAAAAACAGGGATTTCTATGAAAATAAGCGATATTTTAGGGGAAAAACAGGGATTTCTATGAAAATAAGCGATATTTTAGGGGAAAAACAGGGATTTCTGTGAAAATAAGCGATATTTTAGGGGAAAAACAGGGATTTCTATGAAAATAAGCGATATTTTAGGGGAAAAACAGGGATTTCTATGAAAATAAGCGATATTTTAGGGGAAAAACAGGGATTTCTGTGAAAATAAGCGATATTTTAGGGGAAAAACAGGGATTTCTATGAAAATAAGCGATATTTTAGGGGAAAAACAGGGATTTCTATGAAAATAAGCGATATTTAAGGGGAAAAACAGGGATTTCTATGAAAATAAGCGATATTTAAGGGTTAAAAACAGGGATTTCTGTGAAAATAAGCGATATTTAAGGGAAAAACAGGGATTTCTATGAAAATAAGCGATATTTAAGGTTTAAAAACAGGGATTTCTATGAAAATAAGCGATATTTTAGGGGAAAAACAGGGATTTCTGTGAAAATAAGCGATATTTTAGGGGAAAAACAGGGATTTCTATGAAAATAAGCGATATTTTAGGGGAAAAACAGGGATTTCTGTGAAAATAAGCGATATTTTAGGGGAAAAACAGGGATTTCTGTGAAAATAAGCGATATTTTAGGGAAAAACAGGGATTTCTATGAAAATAAGCGATATTTAAGGTTTAAAAACAGGGATTTCTATGAAAATAAGCGATATTTTAGGGGAAAAACAGGGATTTCTATGAAAATAAGCAATATTTTAGGGGAAAAACAGGGATTTCTGTGAAAATAAGCGATATTTAAGGGGAAAAACAGGGATTTCTATGAAAATAAGCGATATTTAAAGTGGAAAAACAGGGATTTCTATGAAAATAAGCGATATTTTAGGGGAAAAACAGGGATTTCTATGAAAATAAGCGATATTTAAGGGGAAAAACAGGGATTTCTGTGAAAATAAGCGATATTTTTTGGGAAAAACAGGGATTTCTATGAAAATAAGCGATATTTAAGGGGAAAAACAGGGATTTCTATGAAAATAAGCGATATTTAAGTGTTAAAAACAGGGATTTCTATGAAAATAAGCGATATTTAAGGGTTAAAAACAGGGATTTCTATGAAAATAAGCGATATTTTAGGGGAAAAACAGGGATTTCTATGAAAATAAGCGATATTTAAAGGGAAAAACAGGGATTTCTATGAAAATAAGCGATATTTAAGGGGAAAAACAGGGATTTCTGTGAAAATAAGCGATATTTAAGGGAAAAACAGGGATTTCTATGAAAATAAGCGATATTTAAAGGGAAAAACAGGGATTTCTATGAAAATAAGCGATATTTAAGGTTTAAAAACAGGGATTTCTATGAAAATAAGTGACATTTTAGGGTTAAAAACAGGGATTTCTATGAAAATAAGCGATATTTAAGGGGAAAAACAGGGATTTCTATGAAAATAAGCGATATTTAAGGGGAAAAACAGGGATTTCTATGAAAATAAGCGATATTTCAGGTTAAAAACAGGGATTTCTATGAAAATAAGCGATATTTAAGGGTTAAAAACAGGGATTTCTATGAAAATAAGCGATATTTAAAGTAGAAAAACAGGGATTTCTGTGAAAATAAGCGATATTTTAGGGGAAAAACAGGGATTTCTATGAAAATAAGCGATATTTAAGGGTTGAAAACAGGGATTTCTGTGAAAATAAGCGATATTTAAGGGGAAAAACAGGGATTTCTGTGAAAATAAGCGATATTTTAGGGGAAAAACAGGGATTTCTATGAAAATAAGCGATATTTTAGGGGAAAAACAGGGATTTCTATGAAAATAAGCGATATTTAAGGGGAAAAACAGGGATTTCTGTGAAAATAAGCGATATTTTAGGGGAAAAACAGGGATTTCTATGAAAATAAGCGATATTTTAGGGGAAAAACAGGGATTTCTGTGAAAATAAGCGATATTTTAGGGGAAAAACAGGGATTTCTATGAAAATAAGCGATATTTAAGGGGAAAAACAGGGATTTCTGTGAAAATAAGCGATATTTTAGGGGAAAAACAGGGATTTCTATGAAAATAAGCGATATTTAAGGTTTAAAAACAGGGATTTCTATGAAAATAAGCGATATTTTAGGGGAAAAACAGGGATTTCTATGAAAATAAGCGATATTTAAGGGTTAAAAACAGGGATTTCTATGAAAATAAGCGATATTTTAGGGGAAAAACAGGGATTTCTGTGAAAATAAGCGATATTTTAGGGGAAAAACAGGGATTTCTATGAAAATAAGCGATATTTAAGGGGAAAAACAGGGATTTCTATGAAAATAAGCAATATTTTAGGGGAAAAACAGGGATTTCTATGAAAATAAGCGATATTTTAGGGGAAAAACAGGGATTTCTGTGAAAATAAGCGATATTTTAGGGGAAAAACAGGGATTTCTATGAAAATAAGCGATATTTAAGGGGAAAAACAGGGATTTCTGTGAAAATAAGCGATATTTTAGGGGAAAAACAGGGATTTCTATGAAAATAAGCGATATTTTAGGGGAAAAACAGGGATTTCTATGAAAATAAGCGATATTTTAGGGGAAAAACAGGGATTTCTGTGAAAATAAGCGATATTTAAGGGTTAAAAACAGGGATTTCTATGAAAATAAGCGATATTTAAGGGAAAAACAGGGATTTCTATGAAAATAAGCGATATTTAAGGGGAAAAACAGGGATTTCTGTGAAAATAAGCGATATTTTAGGGGAAAAACAGGGATTTCTATGAAAATAAGCGATATTTAAGGGGAAAAACAGGGATTTCTGTGAAAATAAGCGATATTTAAGGGGAAAAACAGGGATTTCTATGAAAATAAGCGATATTTAAGGGGAAAAACAGGGATTTCTGTGAAAATAAGCGATATTTTAGGGGAAAAACAGGGATTTCTATGAAAATAAGCGATATTTAAGGGGAAAAACAGGGATTTCTGTGAAAATAAGCGATATTTTTTGGGAAAAACAGGGATTTCTATGAAAATAAGCGATATTTAAGGGGAAAAACAGGGATTTCTATGAAAATAAGCGATATTTTAGGGGAAAAACAGGGATTTCTGTGAAAATAAGCGATATTTTAGGGGAAAAATAGGGATTTCTATGAAAATAAGCGATATTTAAGGGGAAAAACAGGGATTTCTATGAAAATAAGCGATATTTTAGGGGAAAAACAGGGATTTCTGTGAAAATAAGCGATATTTAAGGGTTAAAAACAGGGATTTCTATGAAAATAAGCGATATTTAAGGGGAAAAACAGGGATTTCTATGAAAATAAGCGATATTTTAGGGGAAAAACAGGGATTTCTATGAAAATAAGCGATATTTTAGGGGAAAAACAGGGATTTCTGTGAAAATAAGCGATATTTTAGGGGAAAAACAGGGATTTCTATGAAAATAAGCGATATTTTAGGGGAAAAACAGGGATTTCTGTGAAAATAAGCGATATTTTAAGGGGAAAAACAGGGATTTCTGTGAAAATAAGCGATATTTAAGGGGAAAAACAGGGATTTCTGTGAAAATAAGCGATATTTAAGGGGAAAAACAGGGATTTCTATGAAAATAAGCGATATTTTAGGGGAAAAACAGGGATTTCTATGAAAATAAGCGATATTTAAGGGGAAAAACAGGGATTTCTGTGAAAATAAGCGATATTTAAGGGGAAAAACAGGGATTTCTATGAAAATAAGCGATATTTTAGGGGAAAAACAGGGATTTCTATGAAAATAAGCGATATTTTAGGGGAAAAACAGGGATTTCTGTGAAAATAAGCGATATTTTAGGGGAAAAACAGGGATTTCTGTGAAAATAAGCGATATTTTAGGGGAAAAACAGGGATTTCTGTGAAAATAAGCGATATTTTAGGGGAAAAAACAGGGATTTCTATGAAAATAAGCGATATTTAAGGGGAAAAACAGGGATTTCTATGAAAATAAGCGATATTTAAGGGGAAAAACAGGGATTTCTATGAAAATAAGCGATATTTAAGGGGAAAAACAGGGATTTCTGTGAAAATAAGCGATATTTTAAGGGGAAAAACAGGGATTTCTATGAAAATAAGCGATATTTAAGGGGAAAAACAGGGATTTCTGTGAAAATAAGCGATATTTAGGGGAAAAACAGGGATTTCTGTGAAAATAAGCGATATTTTAGGGGAAAAACAGGGATTTCTATGAAAATAAGCGATATTTTAGGGGAAAAACAGGGATTTCTATGAAAATAAGCGATATTTTAAGGGGAAAAACAGGGATTTCTGTGAAAATAAGCGATATTTAGGGGAAAAACAGGGATTTCTATGAAAATAAGCGATATTTTAAGGGTTTAAAAACAGGGATTTCTATGAAAATAAGCGATATTTAAGGGGAAAAACAGGGATTTCTATGAAAATAAGCGATATTTAAAGGGTTAAAAAAACAGGGATTTCTATGAAAATAAGCGATATTTTAGGGGAAAAACAGGGATTTCTGTGAAAATAAGCGATATTTTAGGGGAAAAACAGGGATTTCTGTGAAAATAAGCGATATTTTAGGGGAAAAACAGGGATTTCTGTGAAAATAAGCGATATTTTAGGGGAAAAACAGGGATTT